ATGCTCATGCATAAAAATCTGTTTCCAAAAACCGAAGCAGATACTACACCGGTAGACCACCGAGCTCGTAGTATTTGAATATTTATACTTTTACATTATCCAATGGGAACATTATCTAGATATACATATGTATGTCCGTTGCGTCATTCAATTTCAAGTCAAATTCAACACAGTATCCCTTTTTATCAGAAGGTCTTTTAGGTTTCTCAATTCAGTTACTGTACACACCAAATTTTATTTAGATAAACATAATATGTCTTTCATGGGAATGGGCAATAAATTTTACAGTAAGATATGAAACGATATTCTGGATCTACCGTTTAATGAATTAAACAAAAATAATCTAAAAAAAACTCTGTAATAACGAAATAAATGCAAAAAGACTGAATACAAGTTTTAGTCCTAACAGGTCCTATGAATTAAGTTTGATTAAAAAAAATGAATTTGCAGTGCTGGCAACCGTCGCTGCACACAAATTTATAAACCGCGAAGTATGTCAGATTATACTACTTTTTAATTTTTCTCGTTTTGAATACATTATTAATATAGTTATCTACGTTGCATAGTCTTGTTATGTGATGATTATGATGATATACTATATATACTACGGCGAAGATGTTTATCCTTTAATGTAATAGACTTGGCCTCACATCAATGCAGAATCATTATTATCCATTTATCTGTATTTACTATCTGCTGTTCAGAGAGATTTATTCAATCATGTGCAACAAATGACGTGTGAATTTGAAAATAAATGTCCAGTACCTACAACACAAGCTGTGCTTAGCTTGAAACTATATTATTATATACTCTTTATTGACAGCAAAAACAAATGTACAAATAAAAGTAATAGGTACCTTTATGTGCCACAAAGGTGAATAGGCAACTCAGCATAATTCTACAGGTAAACCTGCAGCGCTGATATTCTGTTGGCTCCTATACCTAAATATAAATATTAAACTTAGAGCTCGTCCTATGAAAGTCGTGTGTAAATATAGTGTGAGATGAACTTCTTAGCATTCCATGAATTCACCGTGCGGGTGCAGGTCCATCGTGTGGCAGAGAGGCAGAAGCCCAAGAACTCCGAGACGTTTCTGGGACTTGCGACCCGGGTGTAGGCTTAAAGAACCCCTAAAGTACGTCAACACTCATCTTTCCCGCTCATGTTTCTCTCCCAGCCCAGATTTGGCTTAGGAGCCTTCTAAAATATAGGGTATACTATATCTAGTGTAGAACTTACTACCGTTCTAGATAGGCAAGTTCTTTTTGAGGATTGTAGAGATTTCGCTGGTATAGCTTTCTCTCACACTTCGACGGCTATTTTCTGTTAATTAGTATATTATATTGATTTGTTTTTATTACATGATCTTTCGATATATTTGGTTCCTATAGGACAGTGATGTTTGTGAATTATTTAAGTATTATTAATACAGTTAAATTGTTCACTGCACAGTAATTGTCTAATTCATGATGATGATATTAATCGCGTTCATTTAATCATAGATTCAATTATATAACAGTGTCCACATTATATAAATGTGTTAGTTTCTTATCAGTGTTAGTTAATATGTGATGCAATATGTTAACAGATTGATGACATTGATAACACTGCAGTATCATGCACATCAATCGTTCTTATAGATGTATATTGATATCAGTTTATATGCATTTACATCCAATTCCGGAGTATCACCTTCCTAAGTATATTCTGTATCTTCCTAAGTAGTTTATCTGCATATACTACAGCCTTATTTTCATATAAATCATAAAATATAAATTGTATTGTATATATATATAAATAGTATATGTAAATTATTATTTAGTTTTACTATGCCTTTTTTGTTTCTCTAGTCCATTCTTGCGATATCTACCACTTTCTACCTTCTCTCCTCTACCCAAAGGTTGTCTGGAAGAGATTGCTCACGCGATAAAACCGTCTTTTGTACCTTATTACTTATATCTGTTTGTTCTTTGTATTACACTTCTGGTGCAATAAAGAGTGAATAAATAAAAAAAATCGGATAAGATGCCACCTAAAATGAAGATAATTTTAAAATGCATATTGATAATTTTAAGATGCACTATGTTTATATGCATTTACGTCTAATTCCGGGAGATTACCTTTCTAAGTACATTCTCTTTGTTTATCTACATGTACTACAGTCTTCTTTGCTTATAAACCAAAAAATATTCTGATAAGGTGCCACCTAAAATTAAGACAAATTTTGAAAATGATAGACGTATAATAAATGATAAATAGTGATAATAGTGTTTATATGCATTTACGTCTATTTTATATTATTAACCGGATCTTAACACGAACTAATTTTATGGTAAATAAAGGTATTTATTTTATTGAAATTAAAAAACATCCCAATTTCAACACAGAGGATGTTTTAAAATTATCATCTACGCGGAATCCAGTTATAAATAAATTCAAGCAAAGTTCTGTAGCATCAATAGACAATAAGTGTAAGTATACCGTAAATGCTGTGTGTCGCGAACTTTCGTTGAATAATCTAGTGACGGTAGATAAAAAAACTGCTGTCACTTATCTACGTTGACATCGCTATTACTCCAGTCAGCTCGTGACCACGGCTAGTGCAACCTAGTCGAAACGTCGTCGTACCTTAAATACCTTTATTTGCCATAAAATTAGTTCGTGTTATGACTCTGTTAATAATATAAATAACATTTACATCCAATTCCGGGATATTCCTTTATTTACCTACATGTACTACAACTGGAACCTAAGTGGTCTTGGACAGTGCGGTTTCAGAGGAGCTTCCTCACGCGTACGAAGTCGCGTAGTTTGTGGAATGAACTTCCTGCCGAGGTTTTCTCACGAGGCGGTTCGCATGGGGTTTTTCAAGAAGGATATATGAAGGTTTCTTAAGGGTCGGCAACGCGCACGTGACCCGCCTGGTGCTTCAGGCGTCCATAGGCTACGGTAACCATTTACCATCAGATCAAACTACAACCTATAAAACATTCGTATCTTGCCACCTAAAGTTCAAATTTGAAAAATGATCACTCACAAACAAATGTGTTGTCGAGGTTTCAATATTACACCTGATACGATGTTCAACTTGTTTACTATATCATCAACGGCACTTAGTCTTTGTGTCGATTTGCGAACAACTTATGCTAATCTATTACGCAGTTGCGTAGGAAGATGCAACGTTCACAATTATGTATGTATGAGCAATATGTAAGCTCGAGCAACCGATGTCGACATCTACTGCATGTATTAAAGTTAATTTTACATAATTTGATGTAAGACTGATAAAAAATTATCTTCTTTATGTGCCGTCTCCTACCGGAGGTTGGCGATCATTCTGGCGATCTTAATTTTGTCCACCGCTGTTCTGAACAAGGATCTGGTGCTAGCCCCAAACCACTGCCTTAGATTCTTTAGCCATGAAGTGCGGCACCTGCCTGGTCTTCGGCGGCCCTGGATTTTTCCTTGGATAATGAATTGGAAAAGACCATATTGTATAAAAAATTACCATTTAGTTCCTTACCAGTTATTCTAAACTAGCTGTACTTCTTCTGCGACTTCGTCCGCGTGGTATTTAACTTTATTTTTCTAAGATAAAAGTAGCCTAAATTACTCCTTGTTACATCAGCTACCTGCCAAAAAAATCCCGTCAAAATTGGTCCAGCCATTTCAGAGATTAGCCGGAACAATCAAACAGGCAGACAAAAGTTGTAAAAAAAATGATATTTTGGTGTATGTACCGTATTTACATTCATATGCATGTAGTAAAAGACGGTTATTTCAATATTACAAACAGACACTCCATTTTTATTTATATGTATAAATTAGCCGTACTGATGGTAAATAAGATAAATAAATAAAAAAAATATGACTTACATAATATCTGAAAGTGTCCTATAAAATGCAAACAGCTTATGGATGTGACCGTCGCTTATAGGTGCCGATTTACAATTTAGCATACCGTCGCGGGTTCGATTCCTCGCACGGTACAAACATTTGTATTCTTTAGTATGATTGTTTGTGCTGGTCTGGGTGTTTTTTTATGTATATTATGTATGTATTTATCAAAATATCTATGTATGTATATCAGTGCTCTATCACCCATAACAAGCTCTGCTTTGCTTGGGACTAGATGACGCTGTAGGAACTGTCATAATAGACAACTTAAAATACATTGCTACTATTTCTTTGTACTAAAAATCGACTCCGAACCCTGTAATTTCACTGTCATATACCCTTTAAGCTAAAAAGCTTGCAAAGCAATCTGCTTAATCCTTACTAAAATTATAAATGCGAAAGTAACACTGTCTGTCTATCTCGCTTTCACGCTAAAACTCTCGATTTAAATGAAGAAAAACGCTAAATCAATCGATTTAAATGAAATTTGGTACACAGATAGTCTAGTCGAAAAAAAAGGGTTGTAAGGGGTTGAAAATCTCCCCTTTCAACCCTTTTTTTTCGAAGGGAAAAGGCTATGTATAAGTATCGACAATTTAAGACGAAATCGCGGGCACATCTAGTAGCAAATATAGGATAGACAGAGTTAGCCACGAAGACAATTCATTCGTAACTTTTATGTACAACATTTTAGTTAACAGGTAATATTTGTTAAATACATTAATAATTTAATCAATTAAGCAAGTCTGTGATTAGAGCGTGTGGTTCGTTCGGCGGTCGGGCGGCGACTGCGAACGCATGCGTCCCGACCGTCGACAAGCGGAAGCGAGCGCGCGCGCACCCGCGCAAGGCTACGCTCATGACCTCGCGTCGTCTTTGTCTACCGCTATCTAGCGTCTGTTTGCCCGCGAGGCCGAATGCATCATACCTTAGGCCGCGTGCTTCAAAACCAAATGATCATTGAAACCATAAATTTATCAATATAAACGTTTCTTTTTTAAGCGAGACCTTGTAGATAATTGTGATAACGTAGGTTAGGTTACGATTTATTTGAATTATAACTTTGACATTGTTATTCGACGTTGCTATTACCATTTTTCAGGTATGGCGCGATATAAGTGCACCAGCTGATTGTATGCCAGCGTACGAGCTGTCAGAGAGCTGTAAGTAACAGAATCAACAAACAAATTACGAATATACATTAAATTGCGGTAATGCCTCTCTTAGCTTTGCCTTGAGTTTCCATCGAAAGACAAAGCCGTTTTGCGGAGAGTTAGTCACAAGGTCATCTATTAAAATAAAATAAAAGTTTTAAATGGAACAAAACGAGACAATAATGTTTGAACATGAAGCCTGCAGTGGACGAAGTGCGGAGGCTTTTTATCCGCACTTCGAATGTAGACGACCTTGTCGTTGGTAACAATTCGGGGTGAACCGCTCATACAGCGTACAGTACGGGTATGAACAGCAACTCTATTTATGGCATACACAAAAGATGAAGAATTAACAAAGACTTCAAAATTATCAGTTTTTCTTCAGACTGTACTAAAGACTTGATGTATAGAAAGTTAGAAAAATCTGTTTCTAAGATTAGAGCACACGTCGTTAGAATCTACAGAATGTAACTCTGAATTTCAGTAAAAATACAAAATGTATCAATTTATTTAAACGTTTGAATTTGGCCACTAACAAAAGTAACAGCACTGCCTGCTGTATCACTATGACATAATTAATTGTTCTTGTACATCTATCTGTAAAAGAAATAAGTGGCTTACTAACAAAGATATGTATACATATCTAATAGTTTCCGTTTTGGAAATAATATAATCATCTGATTAACAAATGTCGACTAAGAGCGCAGTGATTTTTAATTCTCTATTGATAATGTTATCAGTAAACAAGCGAGCTCTTGTGAAATGCTTCCTTCAACTTGATGGATTGTAAATATAATCTCGAACTATCTAGCTGACACCTTGATATTGAAGAGAATGCTAGCATTGAATTGCCTTTTGTGTTTGTAAATACATATTCCAACCAATACGTCATCTCAATAAACTACTGTGTTATTTTGTTTTGAAGGTTACACTTCGTTTACCCATATACAGTTACAAAATAATGGGATTGTAGTCGCATTAGAATATTGGATATAATAAAGGTGATTAGCATTATTCCCATTCTAGCGAAAGTGGTTTTAAACTTGACCTATCCTAATGTGTCTCTAATTGTTGCTGCCTACTGGAAAAATCTGCCTCCACTTAAAGTAGATCAAAGAATGCAAGTTATTGCTGGCAGGTTGTCCACCATTTTTTTTTATAAATATTGTATTATTTTGATGCCTCTTCTTTTATATCATTTTGACCTGTTTGTGTGCCATCTTGGGAATTATTATTCCCAATAAAAATCCCAATATTCCCAATATAATCATTGTATAGGTATGGTATTACCATACCTATACAATGATTATAGTTTTTTTAATAAATCGTTGTTGTATTCCCGCTTCATTCAAGGAAATCGTGTAATTTTCCCGAGATGGGTTGATTGTCTTGTTGTTCAAGCACCAAAACTAACATAGGCCATTGTAACCATTGAAACCTTGGCCAATATTATAATAGCCTCATCCTATGTAAAAAGACTCATGCTCTAAAGTCCAATATTAATGGATAATTACTGTAATACGTCATACAAATATGTCCTCTGTTAATAAAAGTTGGTAGGTATGTATATTATCTATAAAGTTGTTGTTAAAAAAAGATCGCATTCATTTAACTCGAATAAGACAAAGATTTTATTGTCTACAACATTGTTGCATCTTAATAAACAACGCAATGCTATTATATTATATCTGAATGTAATAACTCAGGCTTCTTTGATAGCCACCTTCGACAATCAATTACTATCGAGGCTCTGCGACCGTCAAGGTGAACGACTGCCGAAAACAACCTACTGATAAATGGATCAAGCCGACGAGGAAGTATCGTGCTCGATTCGTCCTAGCCAGCCCTTGTTGCGCACACGCAGGCATGTGTGTAATAAACACATACGCGCGACGCACACACGTTAAAGAAAATGACCATGAGATAACTGACATCACAACAAGGTCCCGCCAATTGGTATGGTTAGCAACGCCACGGCAATTGGATTGTTTGTTATTTGATTGTTGGTAATTAAAGGGTTTTCTTCATTGTCTTCACAAATATCAGTATTCTAAATTTCTTTATTGTTACGAACATTTTCTAGATTTGTTGCTAATCGAATCTCATTACAATTCTTGTGTTGTTATCAAAATTTAGTTTCTATCGTCATTAGTTCTCAAGATTTAATCAAATTTGTAGTAGTAGTGAGTATGGTATCATCAAAGATCTATTTTCTTTTTACGTAAACTTAATTTACTTATCTTTGAATTCTTTAGAATTTCAGTTCCTTACTTTGTGTTGTGATAATGGTGGTAAAATTAAGTTGTAGAAAGAATAATTGATCGTTAACTTTGTCAGTTTGTGACAGTAACGTACAATGTTGTAACCAAATACAAATGTTTGCATCATGTGATGACCCGAACAGACGACAAAACGATAAGCCAGTGAAGCCGTCATGTCATTGCATCCATTGACTATCGGAGAATTGCATTAACAAAGCTTAAAGAAATTATTTTCTGTGATGTAAGGGCTGCAGTCTAAGAAACAGTCTGGTACAGAATTGCGTTAACAAAGCTTAAAGAAATTATTTTCTGTGATGTAAGGGATGCACTCTAAGGGACAGTCTGGTACAGAATTGCGTTAACAAAGCTTAAAGAAATTATTTTTTGTGATGTAAGGGCTGCAGTCTAAGGGACAGTCTGGTACAGAATTGTATTAACAAAGCTTAAAGAAATTTTCTGTGATGTAAGGGATGCACTCTAAGGGACATTGTCGTGCTGTCTGTACCGGCACGTGCATCACGCATGCTGTGTAACATACAGTAATGACAGTGTTTGCTACGACAGCCGATGGCCTTCGAGCCGCGACGGCATCGCCGCCGGTTCCAATGAATATTTTTAACTTAGGGCCCACGCAACAAGCTCCCAAATGGATTTTGATTCGTGCATAATGCTGGCCAACATTTTTTTAGCGCAAATCGAGTTGGCGTCTAATTGGGATAGGAATGTAGCGTTACAAGCAGTGTGGGATTTACGAAAGCTGTTTCGTCTATCACAGCTGGATCTAATTAAATGCTGTGAATTGTCAAGTACATTATCATTGTATCTAGGAGTGTAGGCTATGGAAGATATGCAACATTATTATCTGTCAAATAAGAAAAACTATTTTACATATTTTTGAATAATTCTAGTTGAGTTGAGAAAACTTTTACTATCATCACAAGATAAAGTCGCAAGACATTTGCGTGTTGCTCTTTTAAATAAATGTTGTTCTACTTTATATTACTAATATTTTGTGTGAATACAAACTGCTAAAGAGCAAAATACGTAGAAGTAAATAAACAGTTAATTGAGCAACAAAATAAATCAGAGAAAACTAGAGAAGTCGCGGATGGAGGCCAGTTTATTAAGAATTACAAATAACATCTTCAAACTACTTCACAAAAATTTTTAACCTACAAATAACTATATCATACCTATAAATATATTGTATAATCATCAAAGTTCAAAGCGAGTATAATTCTGTAATCATGACGTTAAAAAAACGGCGACTATCAACAATAATGTATATAAAATCAACATATTAAAATTCAAGGCAACCTTAGGGCGCCGCAGGGCTGCGTAAACAAGGAAACGCTGCCGTACGCCGTATTAGTACACGGCTGGCTGGGTAATTAATGTAGTTAACACTACCAACCAACTGTGGAAATGTTTCAATTGTTATCTAATTTGTTATCTAAACTAACACAAATAATTATATTTGATTTTAAACAAAACCCGCATTTAAAAACAAATCGTATTTATTTACGACCTACCTCGATATTGCACGCTCTGGAGTGAAAATACAAACACTTATTTTTATAAGCTCCTTGAAAGCAGAATTTGAGTAGCCACGTCCTCGCTATTTTAATACGAGCGACGAAACTCCTATACTTAAAACGGTATATTTGAACTTACATTAAGTTAGGATTGGCAGTTAACAAAAAGAAGCAACCGGTGACTGAAAACTACAAAAACGTTGGTCGGCCTCTGAACGTAGAGCCCACCTCTCTTCTAGACTCTCCATACGGACGTCATGCACGTAGTCACATCACAATTAATATATAAACCGAAGAGATTTCCATATTATAATAGACCATATAAAAATCCGTTGCGAGATTTAAAAGTTATACATGTATATAGGCAACGGTTTCTATAAGTGTTAAGTATTTTTTAAATTGTTTGTGTACGATCAATTACAAACAATAAATCAATTTCCCTTCTTTCTAATATTAATTTAGGAGAAAGGTTTTTGTCGTCTGTACTATCAGCAAGTGCAGATTGCACAGTGTCATTATAAAATTGTGAAGTGTCGACGCTGGCGCAGCGTGCGAGCGGCGACAACCAAGTCTTGTCCGAGACATTTTTATGAGTCACAAACTCTGACCGTAAACTAGACTTGCTTGTTACTATATCTATGTACATATATGGTCACAATTAGGACCTGTACTTTAACTTTTTAACTTTTTTCTGACCACGTTAACATGTAAGGCCTATATCACTCATGTATTGCCATTTCAGAGACAAGATTTTGTGCCTCTTCTCCTATAGTTTCATTGCCTCCTGTAGTTACAGCTTCATAGCTAAACACACACAGCTAAATACAATATGTTCATCCCATGTCTATTACGCTCCTATTTATTTATTTTTACTAATAAATGTACGTTCCATAGTACCCAGTGTCTATGATTTTATGGACATTTGTTGTAAGAATAAGTCAGTGAAACATTTTCGTCCAAATATCCGGACTAAAAATAACACATCCGTCATTTTTCCATACGCTAGATGCGCAAGCGCATGCCTATGTACGAGTCAATAACTTCGCCGTTCTTGCGGAAAAAACATAAACCCACATAATGTTAATGCCCAGAGCGAAAACTTTCAACAAATATAAATCTATTTTCATTTTCTCACAAAAAAACATATAGGTTAGAATTCAAAATCGTCTTGGGAATAGGTTTATGTATCCACAGGTATTGTTTAAAAATTCTTTTACAAATATAATATAAATTCAAATTAATTTTAAAATATCTTTATTCATGTAAGACTCTTATGATATGTCAAATCTACCGTCCGTAACAATAATATCTCACTCAGGACAATTCACACAGTGCCATCTAGTTCTAAGCTAAGCAGTGCTTGTGTTATGGGTACTAACTAGACAACTGATAGAAATAGATATTATTACAAATACATACATATAAATAATATTCATAAACAATCACAATCATAAAAATGTTTGTACCGTGCGAAGAATCGAACACGTAACAGATACTAAAGTAGGTAGAGAGAAGCCCAGGCTTCTTATTGTCAGGAACTGGCGTGGATGTGAAACGGGTTATGAATTTGAATAAAGCAAGAATTGTAATTAAGGATAGAAGGTAATGGCTCACCGCCTACGCTGTAAGGGATCTGGCATGAGATAGATAGATATTTTGATTTCATTTTAGTTCGTTGCCACAAAAAGCCCACATGCAATTCCATTCATCCATTAACAGCTATGACAAACGTTTAACAAATTCAAATTTAACACCATTTTCTGCGTTCTACGCATCAACTCGTCTTTATACTGCCGTGGTGCACTCGCGGAAGCACATCAACCTACATTCGGGTAATAATGTGGAAATATTCAAAACTATAGTATGGGCTTTGTTTCTATTTTGGTGAGGGATCAGTCATCATTCGTTGCACTGTTCCGGATTGGAGTGGCGCCAAAACTTTACAAAGGATGCATAGAGCTGGACATTTGAACGGATCGTTATAAGGGCAGAGAAAGACTGAAAAAGAGATGGATGATGAAAGATAATATGAATAATAAATTGACTGCGAACGATGTCGAATTGAAGAGAAAAATATTACACCGACCGCAAATGGGACGGGATAAAGAAGTAGCAGATGATAATATAATGATGCATAGGGCTGGACATTTTTTTATGGATGATAATGTAAAGGTACACCCGCCTGTGTATACGCTAACGGGATGTGGAGGCCAGTGGAGAATGATATGACGAACAAAAAGTCAGCTCAGTAAACCAATCGTGACAAATTCACCAAAAGTTTACTATTATGATTTCCAAGGAGAACCGCGTGGAGATCAACCTGACATGGTATATAGCCAGCAATGGGGTCAGCAGTCCTCATTACTAACAATCCCCTTTCACTCAATAAAGCTACGTTATTAGTGAACATGGGCTGGCTTATTTTTAAACAAATTTGGTCCCTACATAAAATGCATCCTTGCGCAATCGGAGTAAGACGCTAGTACAATATTCCACAGTTCCACATACCTTAATTCTGAGTCTGCTGTCCACGCATTCCTTGAGTGTGGCCAGAGGTCCGTCCATTGATTCTATACGGGTCAGGACATTGTGGCTAATCTTTTCTCTACGTACGGGGGCTGTGACTGAAACAAACGAATAGTCTGTTAATGTTCAAAGTTCAAAAAATATTTCGAGCACATTGGGAATTGGTTTTCGCCATATGCCGTGGAGATGTAGGGTCCATGGAGCCCGGAAGGCAAATTATTTATGACATATATTTCAGCGCGGCACATCGAGGTTACTTGTGACCTAAGAGCTGGTAGCTATTTTGCCCAAAGGCTAAGTATGGCCATTCAAAGAGGCAACGCTGCCAGTATCTTGGGCACGCTGTCTCGATGTGTTGTGTTGGATTACGATGATTGTTTTTTGTGATTGTATGTATTAATGTATAATGTGTAAAAAGCACCAATTAAACATATATGCATTGCGAATAGTAATTAATTACTTTTTAAACCCATTCTGTATATACGGTATTTAGATCCAAAAGTTAATTCTTCTTTTTGTTGATCTCTGAAACGGTTGGACCGATTTTGACGGGACTTACAGTCGCAGATAGTTAATGTTATGAGGATTAATTTAAAAACAGACATACAAAAATATCTACTTTTTACTGTTTCAAATAAAAAAAATATAAATGTCTAAAACTCAATTTCATGAATCAGACAGAATTCATACGTTCGGAGAAAATGGGTGTATTTCTGAGTTTCACACGAATATAACAGTCACAGAAAATGCAAAATACATTTGCGTATATAACACAGTAATAGAAATAATGCAAGTACGCAATTTATATGAAAACTGAACGAATCAACATAATAATAATAATCCTGGACAATACACACTGTGCCATCTAATCCCAAGTTAAGCAGAACTTGTGTGTGGTGCTAGATAACTGATATAGATACTTAAGTTACATTTTTTTGTAAATACATACATGATATACGTAGTAAACACCTAGACAAACAATCATACTCGTGAATACAAATGTTTGTACAATGCGAGCAATCGAACCCGAAACCTTCGGAGTGCTAAACCGCTAGACCACCGAAGCCGTGGTCATCCATTGCATTCTATGTTACAGTAGGAATCGAACCCGCGACCATCGGAAATTGCGGTGTGCGGCAATCAGCGCCATCAATATACTTTACTACATAGAAAAGGAAACTCAACATATTGGAATAGAAATAGAAATAGAAATTCCAAATGAAACCGAGAGCCGGTCAAAATTAATTAAACAACAGACTCCAGAGTACAGATGTACAGATAAAGATCGCGAATGCAAATTGTTTCAATTTTATTACTACATTCTTGCTGTTAGAGAGGGATAGACAATTTTGCTACGTTTTCTCCGACTTATTGCAAGTCTGTGGTTGAGCCAAATGAATGTCTTAGAATATGTAATAGAGAACAGGCTTGTCTATGGTTTTTAAATTTTTATATAAGTAGAATTATGTTATTACTGTTTGAGATTTTATTTTGGTTCTTTTTTGTTATTAATGATATATTTTTTACATATAAGATATCTATACGCGAAGCAAAAACTTTGTACTTCTTTTAACGAAAATTACGCGGATGGAGGTCTATGAAATTTCGCACTTATAGTTTATATAGAGGAGTGCAAAATGCAAAAAAAAATTCTTAAATTTATCCATAAAAAAATATTACAGACATATTTATTTGACACGCATATATACTTTTTTTGCTTATAAAGTCTGTGGTCAAATTGAGAATAGATTAATATTGTTTGTCTTTAAATTACTTAGTCTTACTGAAGAATAAAATAATAGTAGTAGTGGTATATTTTATCCACAAGTGGATAGGCAAAGGTACGAGACCATACAGCCTAATCTTCAGTAGTATTTCCATGAAATTCAAAAATTCTTCAAGGCGATATCGCCAAATCTTTTCATTAATTATAAGTTTGTGTTAAGTCCTTGTATGTGTCCATAATTGAAATGTTTATAATTCTCCGATAGTTGCTATGATGAAGTCGTAAATTGGTTTAAAAGTTGCAGTGCATTTGAATAGTTCTTGAAGCGATGGCGGAATAATCTTATATAGTTCTTGAAGCTTGGCAATGAGCAAAATTCTGTTTAAATTGAAGGCCGGGCAATAAAAAAATATATGTTCTAATGTTTGATTTTCGTAGAATAAAATAATTATGGTCGAATTTCGACCACTGGGTGCCCAGCAGTAATAATTATTCCAATGTTATAATGAATTACATTATGGTCGGCCTGTTGTGTCTATGTTGCACGTTAGTCACTAGATTGTTTAAAAATAACATCGTAAACGATAAATCTATGCAGCTCTCGAGCCGAGGTACCAGGGAGGCATGGCTCGCATGCGGTCGCCGATCGCGAATTACTTTCACTCGACTATCCCCGGGCGCTGACCGCGCGGCGGGGTCGTCGCCCTAAGCCGAGCGCGGGAAACGCCACCCGCCATCTTGCCATTCAGAAAAGCGCGCCATGTTTACACAGATGCGCGCCGAAACGCGTTGCATCACTTCCGTTTGCGTTCCGTTCCGTGATTCTTACGCACGTGCCGATTTGATTTTCTGCATTGCATTATTTGTTCTCACACATTTTGTGCGCGAAACCGGGAACCTATAAATAGAACGCAAACTCGACCTATCTAACACTATATTTAGATATGCTGTACGGGAGTCTACAACTGCTGATAGGTTATCATTATCTCATATAGGTACTAAACGTGGAATTTTTTAATAAACATAAACGTATCCATTTTGTTTATCGTCTAACATATGATTATGATATACCAATTACTATGTCATCGTACACTTTTAAGGAACAATAAGTTTTAAATTATGCACAGTCCCAAGGTTTTGTATATATAAAAAAATATCGTTTGCATTATGTTAATAATAATGTATACATAGAGTCCGGTAAATAATAAATATACACAGATAATAGAAGATTTAGTGACGCTAAAATTTACGTCAATATCGACGCGTGCGTATACAATGCAGACGGCATAGCGTGATAACAGTTATCGCCTCTTAACTCAGTTATAAACACAGTTATTTCCCCTTTGAAATAGTTGAAATTCTTATACATACAATAAATTGCAACTCAACAAAATAATCGCAGACTATTTAATTCAAAAATCGAATTTAAAAAAGTTACATGTAAAGACTTGGTTTCCTTTGCTCTTTTAAAAAAGCTGACCCAAAATGCCTTCGAGACAACGATCCCTGGCGAATCTGGACGAGGCGTCAACGACCGATGCAACGATGCGCCGGCGCCGCGTGCAACAGAGACAACATGCATCCCACTCATGTGGAAAGCGGTTACGCAACAATTGTGTAGCGCGAAAGTCGTCTAGCGAATCGCGTCGTAACTCTGCTTCTCTAGATAACAAGATAATGCCAACTCCGCATATCTCAAGTGGGATAATTTTAAACCATCTTCTAGACTACTCCGAGTCTGGAGAACCACTTTATGTTAATTAATAACCGATTATTAGGCAGTTATTTACGTATCAATTACAAATTAAGTATCAGAAAAGAATTTTAACTATGAACGTTTTTATTAAGTCACAGATCTATTTTTGGTTTCTGATAAGGTGTTTAGACGTATCTATATGCCTTGCCACATTATGTCATAGACCAACAAGATAAACCTCCGCTTGATGAAGAATAAAAATCTATGCCCTCTAAATGACAATATCAGACATAATTTTGTTACAAATATTACGAACTGTTAACTTAAAATGTCAAACCTAGAGTTTATAATGTTATGACTCCTGGGCCTTAGATAGTATTTCCAATATTAATCTACGGATAGATACTTTCCTTTCGAAAAATCAAATCCTATTATCGTAAATCAAATTGTTGTTTATTCTACAAGAAAATCAGGAAGAAACCTGTTAAAGAAAGTTGTTTATTCACGATAATTTCTTTTAATGTTAGACACATCTATGTCTAAATGCCAAGAAACTAAACTGATTTAGTTGGATACCTAAATCAGTTCAGTTCAATTGAATCTGTGGACTGAACCATACGGTCGAGAAAAAACTATTACAAAAGAACTTGACTTGTATGACAGACTAAAATGTCCTACATCAATTTTTCGCACTTAGGTGCACACACTCTGAAACTGCCAGACAATCGAGAGCCAGTTGACGTAACTGGCCAACCAAATGAGGTTCACTTCAAAACATCTACGATACAATACGAAGAGAAAAAACCAGGCGGTTTATGTAATACAACAAGGCCGGGCCAACGGGTCACGGGCGCCATGCAAATGAGCTGATGCCATCGCTGATAGCGTCATTGAATAAACGGGCCTGGACCGCTCCATTCATCTAGAGGAGACCACGACTACTTTAATCCATAGAACGAATTCCCGTAATTCGAGGTGCTTTAAGAGCTACTTCATCTACGGTAATATGTTATTTGGTATTCATATTGCTTGACATACTACAACAATCCTAATAGATCTGTTGATTTGAATTGCAGAATACTAATTAAAAAAGTAGTTTCCAGAATACGGCCCAATTTTCTAAAGAGAGATCAAATCAGAATCTGTACCTCGCATACTTTCTGCCAATAATCTTTTGCAATCGACAATGTTTATTCCCAATAATACTTTGCTAAATTTAAAATAATAGAATTCAATCTAAACGAAAAGCAAAGATAAAACGCAACACCCACGAACAAAAACACAGTTAAATTAAGAGCATCCTCAATTTAGCATTTTCGAAATATCTCCCTTCCTTTTTTAGATACTATAAACAGTAATTCTATAATATATTTTATAAATCTCGTTCAAGAAGTTTTGACTGAATTATCTGAAACAACATTATATTTTTGACGGCCGCTGAAAGGGTAGCGCTTCGCGTAAAGTGCTGATTCCTCTTCTCAATTTGGCTATTAGAAAATAGTTTGGGCGACAATCCGTCAAGTGTACTATCAGCTTGTGTGCCACTCTAGTCACCAAAATACTCTTACTAGCCTCGACGATTTTGACTTCCAAATTCTCGCCTTTCGAGCCGAAACACAGCTCTAATATAAAAAGGTTAGGAACCGAAATAATGACTATGTATATTAAGTCCCAAATAGTAATAAGACTAAATGAAAATCTACCGGAATACAGCTGTGATCTTAAAAGGTTAGGAACCGAAATCACGACTATGTACAAAAGTCCCGAATAATAACAGGACTAAATGTAAATCTACCAAAATCTACGCTATAGTAGCAGGACTAAATAAGAGTCTACCAAAAACTACGCGACGTGCATGTAGGCATGTAGTTGAGCAACCCAATTCAATAACATCGGACCATTTATTATCCCTGAATTTGCGGATCCTTCGCAGTCTGGGTGGCCGGAGATTATCCCGAGTGCGGTAGTGGGAGTGGTGACACGAGTGTGGGGAGGGGAGGCAGGGTCGTCGCCCGCCGCTGACACAGAATGGCTTGCGTTGAACGCACTGCCTAGACTGACCTCGCGCGTGACCTAAAGTTACGCAGGGGTGTAGGATATGAACGCTACAGATTATCAATAAAGGGCTAATTACTATATCACTGTATACAATTATCTGGAGTACACTAAAAGTAATAGTTACACTTATTAGGTAAGGTTTAAAAATTCTTAGTACATGTCTAGGTCTAGCGGTTTATTTCCGATGGTGCGGATTCGATTTCTCTCACGGTACCGATATTTGTATTCTTGAGTATGATTGTTTTTGTCGGTCTGGGTGTTGTCTATATATAATGTGTATATATTTACGAAAAAATGTATATCTATCTATGTATTTATCAGTAATTATGGGTACTAGCCAATTACACAAACTGTAGATAGCTTAACTTGGGACTAGATGGCGCTGTGTGAATTGTCCTGAAATTATTATTATTATTATATAAAGATCTGTGTGGATGTTCTCTATGTATATTATGTATAATACATATATAGACGACCTCGGTGGTCTAGTGGTTTAGCACACCGCTTTACGTCTGATGGTCGCGGGTTCGATTCCTCGCACGGCACAAACATTTGTATTCATGAGTATGATTGTTTGTATTGGTCTGGGTGTTTTCTATGTATAATATGTATATTTACGAAAAAAAATATCTATGTATTTGTATCAGTTACCTAGTAACAAAAGCTCTGCTTAGCTTGTGGCTACATGGCATGTGAACTTTCCAGAGATATTATATTATGTATGTATGAAGTTTATATTAAGTTTTTTATACATACATATATGGAATCATTTCAAAATAAATATATGGGTATATTTTATTTATTTATTTACTCTTTATTGCACCAGAAGTATATATTTTTTTTTGTGGATGATAATGGAATGGTGCACCCGCCTGCACTAACGGTTTACGCTGGCGGGGCATCAGTGGAGGATGATAAGATGAGCATGCGGTCAGGTCAGTACCAGAAGTATATTACAAAGTACATAATAAGTAATAAGGCACAAAAGGTGGTCTCATCGCGTAAGCAATCTCTTCCAGACAACCTTTGGGTAGAGAAGAGAAAATAGAAAGTGGTAGATGGCGCAGGAATCGTCTAGAGAAATAAAAAAGGCATAGCAACACTAGAAACTAAATAATAATAATTTACATATACCACTTACATATATATACAATACTAGTATTATACATACATATTATATACTAGCTGTTCCCGCGACTTCGTCCGCATGGAAATTTTACTTAATTTTTCTAAAATAAAATTAGCCTAAGTTACTCCTTATTACATCAGCTACCTGCCAAAAAAAGTCCCGTCAAAATATATATACAGAGAGATAGACAAAAATTGTAAAAAATCTTATTTTGGTGTATTTATATGCTTGTAGTAAAAACGGTTATTTCAATATTACAAACAGATGCTCCAATTTTATATTATATATATGTATAGATAAATATCTACATTACCTTATCTCATTCCTGAGCATGAGTATCCTGTTATAATAAGTTTAATCATCTTGTTTTCATTATTACTATTACCATTCCATTGACTATTAAATTCAGAACCAAGAATAACAGGATATTTAATTTTTTTATTCAAATAATATAGTCATTTCTGTATCCTTATATGAATTTAAATGTGGACAGTTGAATTGATTACTAGCAATGTACCATGTCAGGTTGACTTCCATGCTGTCGCTAGAAATAATTGTGATAAATTCCTGGTGAATTTGTTACGATGGGCTAACTGACCTGATCTCATGTTCATGTAATCATCCTCCACTGGTGCCCTGCCAGTGTAAACCGTTAACTTTTCTTTATCATCCAATAAAAATTATTCATTTAAATATTAACAATTAAAAAAAGTATGCATTAAACATATTACGTCTTTCTCAGTGTCATACTTTCATAAGATATCGCTTAAACAGAAATACAAAATTTGTATTCATGAGTATTATTGTTTGTATTAGTCTATGTGTTTTCTATATATACAATATATTTAGAAAAAAATGTATTTTTTATATTTATGAGTTGTTTATGTGTTCTCTATACATACAATATATTTAGAAAAAAAATGTATTTTTTATATTTATGAGTTGTTTAGTATCTGTAACACAAGCTCTGTTTAGCTTAGGACTGGATTTTTAGGTTTGTTATTAATATTATTAAAAATAACAGTTTTACTAACATATAGCTACACTTTGCGTAGCTAATAAATTGTGATAAGAAACATTAGCAAATTCAAAAGCATTTATTTATACAAAAAAATTTCTACCACTTCACACATAATTTCTTTTACTACTTTTATATATACACAGTGGTATAGCAATAAGGTTACAAAGAAGGCAAAATACCCCTAATTACACCTGCATTAGGGGTACTAATGCTTTCAAGCGAAAAAACCTATAATTTTCACATTTAAATCACACTGGCCAGAAAGACTAGTGTGTTCTAAATTAGCCACTTTTATACAGAATTTTTAAGGAATTAAAATAATTAAACTCCTTTACATAAAGGGAGGTTCCATCCTATGGAATTTGACATACACCGCAAAACATATAGTTCATTGTTTATTCACATGTAAATAATTATTTTCACTATTTTGAATTTTATCAGACATCTAAAGAACACTAGTACAACAAAAATAATAACATTATAAATAATATAACAAGTTTATTTACAAAATAACATAACCTAAAATACCTTCATATTTCATGAAACGTCGCTTGTTTTTCTCCTCAAGCAACCTCTGTTCTTCTTGTTTCTTCGATTCCTTTTCTTGTTCCCTCTCTATCACCAAATGTTTTTGCCCAACAGGTATTATAGACGTTGATTCCTTCTGTGCGGACTCGAATTGGCACAAGTTCTCATACATTGGGGCATTCTCCATCGGTAATTTCACTTTCGTGGAATATAACGCCTTTAACGGATTAAAACTAGAACTACACGCACTAATATCTGATTCTGAAGTCGAAGAGTCCGAATTTGGGTCTTCAGACATTGTAAATACTTTAAAATATATTAATAAATATATTTAACATTTGAACATGAACATAACAAAACAAACACAGAACATTGCGTTTTGACACTGACATTTGATTTGACATTGACAATTAGTAACAGACAAAATATTTCCACTTGCGTTTTGTTCCGTCATCGCCGTACAGAAATGGCGACTATCATATTAAATAATACATAAACTTATAACTGAATTATTATTACTGCTACTACTTGTTTAGTTATAATTATCATAAAACTATTCATATTACGAATTTGTTGAACAATATAATGTAACTAATGTTAAATAATAGCGCCTTGGTATAAAATATTAATAAAACATAACGCAACTACACGTTTCAATTTACGCATTATAAAATTATAGACGTGATACGGAAATTAATGTTAAATTAATAATAGTATCTGTTACCTGTTAAACGAAAATACTTAAGTGATTGCAATTTTTTTTAATTGCCATTGCAATCATATCGGTATCGTGATAGAATGTTGAAGGTGCTTCCTCTACAATTAATAGGGCAATATCTGACGTCTACGCTTTATAATTAAAAAAATAGAATAAGAACCGTCTTCTTAAATAGAATATCATTCCAATTTAAACAAAGTGATTACGCGCACACGATTTGACACCCATTTTGAACGTGGGTAGTCCTTAAATTAAACCATATCTTTTCTTTTTAATGGATTTTAATGAAACGATGCACTCGCCTGCGCTAACGGTTTACGCTGGTGGGGCACCAGTGGAGGATGATAAGATGAGCATGAGGTCACGTAAGTTAGCCCATCGTGACAAATTCTCCAGCAATTTGTCATATTAGTTTCCAAGGGGAATTGCGTGGAGGTCAATCTAACCAACGGCGGATCCAGGGGGGTCATGGGGGTCATGACCCCCCCCCCCCTGAGATTATTATTATTATATATACAGTTCAACACGCATCGACAAATGTCAGTGCCTCTGACTACCCCATCTATCATTCCATAGTCGTGAATATAGATAATTTTGATTTATGTAACACGATTATAATAATTTTAAATGTATATATTAATTCAAGTGCAATACTATCTTAACAATATGATAATTGTGTAAATAAGCCATCTCGACGCTTCGCAATATTACACGGACAAGGTTCTTGTAATATGCAATAGGAAGTGCTCTCAAGGTTGGGCTTGTATCGTTGATAATAAATCTTTCATTAAGCAGTCCTAAGGAAAATTCATTTATATATACTAGAAACGGTAAACATGTAAACGTTTTAATAATCATTACATAGTATAAAACAAAGTCGCTGTCTGTTTGTCGCTATGTATGCTTAAATATTTAAAACTACGCAACGGATTTTGAAGCGATTTCTTTTAATAGTTAGAGTGATTCAAGAGGAAGGTTTGCATATATAATACATGAACACCCGTGCGAAGCCGGGGCGTGTAGATAGTATTTTAATCCATACATGTGTATATTTCGCGAAACTGTTTTAAAAGATGTTATGAATGTGAAAATAATTCTGTCTGTCTGTTGCGCTTTTCTCTGATGTCTGAGCTTCAACTATAGTTATTTTAAACTTTTTTTTTTACACATTATTTATATTGTTTAGTGACCACGGTCAGTGGTACCTGGTCGAAAGTCTAAGAGAGGTAATAGCTCTCTCGACGTTTCAACTTAGAAGGTAGTTAGAGGTAGTACCTTTATGCATACTAATATTATAAATTTTAAAATAGTTCTGTCTGTTATAATATATTTACAGTAGGTACTTATAATTCATAGAAATATTATTACTGCTGAGCAGTTTCATAGTGTTATATGCTACTATTCTACTCACCGATAGATGGCGCTTTTAAGTAACAACCTAAAATGTTTTCTTAAATCAACAAATTGGAGGCTGTAGTTAAAACATAATAATAATACTAATAATCTTTATTTGTCAAACAAAAACCAATACAATTGTCGCACATACAATAATAAAATGTAATAGTATCATTACTTTTTAATTTTATTATTGTTTGGGCAAAACAAATTGGTGACAAACTGCTTTCTGAGTTCGTGCATCGCGAATACAAACACCGCGACTCGAATATTATTCTCGACTCCTGTACTGTATTACGACTCGAATAATATTCTCGACTCCTGTACTGTATTACGACTCGAATAATATTCTCGACTCCTGTACTGTATTACGACTCGAATAATATTCTCGACTCCTGTACTGTATTACAACTCGAATATTATTCTCGACTCCTGTACTGTATTACGACTCGAATAATATTCTCGACTCCTGTACTGTATTACGACTCGAATAATATTCTCGACTCCTGTACTGTATTACGACTCGAATAATATTCTCGACTCCTGTACTGTATTACAACTCGAATATTATTCTCGACTCCTGTACTGTATTACGACTCGAATAATATTCTCGACTCCTGTACTGTATTAATTACGATTATGATTTCGCCAAATGATCTTTACGTCAACACACGCAATCTAATGAAAGTATAGGAAGTGTTTTAGAAAACAAAAGTCCTCTTTTTGCGTGGCGTACTTTATAACAATTATAGTGAAAGAGCAATGTTAGCATTGTTTCGTTTTTGCCGCGGCCGCCCGCACCTCGGCGGGCCGTATTCTCGCAATCTTCCGCGCATTGTTTTTTTTATGATTTAACAATTACCAGTATTATCATTATAAATGCAGTAATCTTTATTAAATGAACTCTTTTAAATGGACTTATTCAGAAAAAAATGTGCAAGAACGTAATCCCACAGAAAGTGTATTATTTGACGCTTTAGTATAAACTAGCGACCCAGGCTTCGCTCGAGTGTACACTCTATTTATATATCTAATACTAGCTGACTGAATCACACTTACTTGATGTTTATCATTAGATTTTGCCCAATTTATACGTAATCTTTTTAAATTACAGCCCATGTGTTATTGTTATATCTAAGCTATATTACTGTAAAGTTTCATCAAATTCCGTTTAGTCTTTTAGAACGTGTCTCAAACATCCGTACATTGAATCATACTTATAGTGTTTGTAAGAAAAAATCTCCTTCGAATCGCTTTGATCGATTTGTATGAAATTTTAAGTACATTAATACTACATAGATACATTTTTTTTGTAAATACATTATATAATGTACATAGAAAACACCCAGACCGATACAAACATACTTATGAATAAAAATGTTAGTGCCGTGCGAGAATCGAACCCGCGACCATCGGAAAAAAAGCGGTGTGGTAAACCGCTACACCACCGAGGCCGTCCAGACTTACAACACTTACATTATATACTTATGTTATTTTTATTAGTTTGTTGAAGTATGATTGTATTTGTCCATTGCAGAGTGGCAGCATCGCCGTGTGCTCAGTGGGTGTGCGTCACGCTGCATCTATGCTGTATCGACGCAGGTTCAACATACACTGGGACGTCGCCAGGTGATCGCGGCGCATAATTTCAATAATAATATATTTATTTACCACCAACGTCCAACCTAGTAAAAAATCAATCAAAAAATTAGTTAACACCAATGTAGTAAAGATTTTTCACTTTACTAACATTATTTTACAAAAAAAAGTACTAACAAACGACCCATTTATGCCAAAAAAAAACATATTTATTATTATTTTATTAATACACTCTCACTCTCAGTACACTTCACACAGCGCCATCTAGTGTCCAAGTTAAGCTAAGCTTGTGTTATAGGTACTAGATAATTTATATGAATACATAGTTTTTGTTTGAATACATACATAATATACACAGCAAACAGCCTGTGTATCATGATAACATGCTGTACATGTATGCGAAGATTACCATTTACCATCTGGTGGCAATAATGACGATGAAAAGAATACGAGCTGAGTTTCTTGTCAGTTCTTCTCATCTCGAAATCATTCCAAACTGACGATAGATTTGACATATCATAAGAGTCTGTAGTAGACCTACATGAATAAAGACATTTTGATTTTTTTTTATTTTAGGGGACGGTTAATGCTTGCCATTTAAATTATATAAAAAAATCATATGCTTAAATAGGTTCTATAGATAAATTCTTTATTTACCAATTACAGACACATAGCATAACGATGCAGAAAAAATACATGAACAAGTAAAAGCAATGGAGATGACTATGTTTAGAAGTACAAACTTTTTGAACTAGATGGCGCTGGTCGATATATTTTTATAAATTTATGAATTTTATTTGTATATAATGTAGGTAGGATTATTATATTGATTTTTAACTTATACTCTTTCATCTAATTATATAAATACTGTTCGCTACAATATTTATATTAATTTATTTGTTAATTGTAACTTTTGAAACGACTAATAAGTATGTAGTGTCAAAGAAAAATGGACCTACTGCATATGTATTTAATACTATTTATATAATATATATATATATATATATATATATATATGCATGTATAAATATTAATACCTGTTAGAGGACATCTATATTAATTATATATATATATATCTTTATCTCACTAAATTCTAACACTTCTTCCATAAACTACCACCGTAGTTAAAATATATTCCATGGCAATTAATTAATACTACGGTCCTCAGCATTAGTTCTTGAAATGCCACTAGCATGCTGTTCATGTATATAGGCGAATTTATTATGAAGTTTACTTAAATAATGATAATATTGATTACCTATTAAATTTTTTTTAGTTAAGAGAAATGTTTAAAGACGTGAAAGTCTACGCTTTTCATATTCGCAGGTTGCTGTTGAAGAGAAGCGGTCAACGAGGCGTGAGGTAACCCGGCCCAGGCGCGGAGCAAACTCAATGACCAACGCCAAACCAACCGCAATGTGTTCCGCCGCAAACGAGTACCTAAACATCGCATAAAACATACATCGAATAATGTACGATCCGTCCAAAACGCTGCCAAACATATTGTACGAATTTATTAGTGTAAAAACAGTTTTAGACTATTTATACCGTGAGTCGCGTGTGCGCGTGTGATAGCGCCATCTGGCGTGGAGTGGCGACAACGTGGCGGGGACGCACGCGCCGTCGGGTCCGGCGCTGGCGATGCCCTTTATTGAAGACGAATGGTGGTCTGCGGAGAATGAGGGCAGAATGGTCGACCTCTCCAATTGCCTTCAGGTAATTTATATTTACCGTTACAACACCTTATATCAAACAATATTCATATTGTTAACGGGAAATTAACAATAAATTAGGTCAAAAAAAAACAAAATCAGTTATGTTACTTGCCAGTTCTTCACAGTTGAATCTGTATATTGAACTGGACGGTAGGGAAAAAATATTAATAATAGTTCATAACTGGTTATAATGAATACGTGATTTTTGATTTTATTATCACGAATAATTTTATGGCAAATAAATGTATTTACCTCTCTCGTTTCGACTAGGTTGAGTTTTATAATTAATTTAAATACATTCATTTACCATAAAATTGTTCGTGTTAAGACCCGGTTAACAATTTTAATAATGTATTAAACACGAAAGTATAAAAATACCCATATTTCATAGTTGATGCTCATTATTTAGAATTAAAATCATTATTTGCAAATTAGTCAAAATGCTAGCAATAGAATATTATATTATTATTAATAATAAAACATTACGAAAGAAAGCGTGTTATGGCCAAATAAACTATTAGTTCCACTTAGATCCAAAAGTTCTAAATTCAATTCTGGTGTAACTCAAAAATGTTTCATGTAAATTTATATTTCTGACTCACTCTCCAGTAGCACACAATTAAGGAAACACCGGTAACAAACAACATTGATACGTCTCGCTCCGTCCCCTGCCACGTTGGTTTCAAATATACCTAGAGAATGTTATATTTATCACGAAGTTAATATTTTCTTTTATTTATGTATTGCGTTCTATAAATTTACAATATGCAGTTGTTAGGTTTACGTTCAGCTATTATGGGCACAGCAGAAAAGAAGAGAGGAACAGAATAGAAAATCATTTATTCAAATAAACTTAATTTAAGCACTTTTGAACAGTCATAACATTTTTTTTCATCTACCGCTCGTTCCGAAAGCTGTCTCATCACAAGAAGAACGATCAAGAAACTTGTGTGTTGCTCTTTTAAACAATCCTTGTAAGTTCACATTATACAAATCCAAACGTGTGAATACAAACTTTCAAGGGAGGACAAGTTTATTCGTTTATTTACTTTTTTATTAGTCCAGTTGAGTTTATTTGCTAATCAGAATTTTGTTTAGAGTTGAAAATAGTAATAATAATACTCGTGGAAAATTCACACAACGCCATTCAGTTCAGAGCTAAGCAGAGTTTGTGTTATGGGCACTAGACAACTGATACAAATACATAGATACATTTTTTTAAATATATCTATCTCCTAAATACATACATATTATACATAGAAAACATCCAGACTGATATAAACAATCATACTTATAAATACAAATGTTTGTACCGTGCGGGGAATTGAACCCGGTCATTTAAATTGTAAGGCGGTCTACACCGCTAGACCACCGAGACCGTCAAGTGCCTCTGATAACAGTCGTGAAGGTACGTTTTTTTTAAAGTTACAGGACGCGGTAGTGGCTGCTGGCGGACAGGCCGCCGCCCAACTGCAACAGATGGCGTCATCCCTGGGAGAACTGTCCCAGGCCGAGCTATCCAATATTGTCGGTGGACTGACCCTGGAGCCTGATGGCTCGGAAGCCGCCGACCCTGATGACATCCTCAAGCAGCTGGGGGAGACCGCTTTCGACAATTTCGATACCTTCTTCACGGATCTCACCAACGCTACAGCATCGGCAGTACCACCCATCGAAATAAAGGTAAACAAAATATAAATAAATAACCTTAGACAATTAACACAGCGCCATCTAGTCCCGCGGTAAGCAGAGCTTGTGTTATGGGTACTAGATAACTGATATAAATATTTATATACGCACATAATATATATAGAAAATACCCAGACTGTTACATATAAATGTTTGCACCATGCCAGGCATCGAACCCGAGACCATAGATAAAGCGGTAATAATTTGTAGTTATGTATATTTTAATTATTGTTGTATATATATGATATATTATAAAGTTTTGGAATATTATTTAATTTGTTAAATATTAAATGATTTTCTAAAATCAATAAAGTATTATTTGAGTTCAAGGAATCGAATAAGTCCTCTATTTAATATTATTATAGATTGACAGAATAAAAAAATATTTTATGTTGCTTTGTGTTATATTAGATGTTACTGTGTTAATTTGAGGGTATTTATATTATGTATTTATTAATAGACCTATACCTACTTAGGTATATAAACCTCTTTCTATTTGAAAATAACGAGTTTATTTAAGTTCCTTATTGTAGTAAAAATTAAGTTAACTTTGCCCATATGACATATATATTCATCTATACACATACATATTAACGACTAGCTGTTCCCGCGACTTCGTTCGTGTTGAATTTAACTTTACGTTGCTAAAATAAAAGTAGCGTAAGTTACTCCTTATTATATCAGATACCTGCCAAAAAAGTCAGCTACTTGTCAAAATCGGTCCACCCATTTCAGAGATTAGCCGGAAGACAGACAGACAAAAATTAAAAAAAAAAGTTATTTTGGTATATGTACCGTATTTATATTCAAATGCATGTAGTAAAAAACGGTTATTTCAATACTACAAACAGACACTTCAATTTTATTTATATGTATAGATGATCAATATAACATCATTTGTTTCTCTTTCATTCCAGCAAGAAGAGAACAATAACATATCATCGCCATCGTCCGCAAGTCAATTACAAGGATATTACCAGCCTTCAAGTCAGCTGTCATTACAGAATGGTGGCCAGCAGAGGCTACAGCAACTCCTCAGGTCGGGGACGAATGCAATCAGTAACGCTGTGACGAGTAATATTAACAATGGAAGATACAATATTGCCTCAGCTAATCCGCTATTGGCGGAGAAATTAGCAGCGACATCTAGCGGCATAAAGCAGGAACCAATGAGTTCGGATTACAGTGGAACGACTATGAACTATGGAAGCGCTTCGCCGATGCAACGGGTGCCGAGTGGGAAGCCGCAGGTGCATGATGCTGGTGGAGGTAAAGGTTAGTACCTAGTTTATATTTAATTTAAATTTTAAAAGGTAATTTAATGATAAGAGACATCTAGCGGTGTGTAGCGTAACTAAAACGATATAAAACGCTATGCTTTTATATCCCCGAAACATATTAGTTCGTATAGTTTTACACAGATGGCGCTATCAGTAACAAATGAATAAAAATAAACTTATCTCACCGAGATGCACCGGCATCTGTGCAGTTTTCTCCTGCAATCAAAGTGCACTTTCGATTTCCTCTCGCGGAAGTAGCAGCGATTTTCCTTTCGGGCCGCCGCTTTTACCTCCGCGCCTAGCTATGTTTTTAACGTCATAGTAACTGCTTGCGAGAAAGTTAGCACGTTGTAAAATGAACATAAATTACTGACTGTATTTTATTGGGACGTAATACACGGTATTTTATATACTTATTGCTATTTTAGAGGTCACTTAAGTGCTTTCATAAAAATATAAGTACTTAAATTACTTATAATATATTTACCACTTACCACTTATATATCTAAATACCACACTATTTAGTGAGCATTATTTACGCTAAAAATGAACTATTATCATTCTACTAAAAAAATTAACAATATAAAAAGTATCTCTGTGTGACCTATATTGTTTTACAAGCTGAATTTCAATTTGAACATGAAGATATGACAGTACGTTCACAAAGTTCAAGCGTGACACCTCAGTCCTTTCAATGGCAACTCATGACAACCATGGGTTGTTTAATATATCTTATGGGGTTCTTTCATCTATATAGGCGACGAGTGAGGCATTCAATGAGGTCGCTCGTATGTCATTGTCATTATTTATAGTGTATACAAAAATATATAATAAAATTCTTTAGAAAGATATAACATATGAACTATAAAAGTATGTGGCCAGTACGTCAGCAACATATAGTATGTTTAATTTTTAATTTAATCAACATATTCAATATTACATTACCTATTTTTTTTTATGTTTTTTTGTATGTAAATATATTTTAAAAGTTTATTAATTTAACTTAATATTATGTCTCTACATAACACTAACTAAATAGAATAAATGTTTATAGATATACATATAAATAAAAAAATATTTATATCATCATTTCATCACCGACCAGTGGCGCCACCGTGCAGCCGGAAGCGAAAGCTAGCATTACGTTTCTCAACTTTCCCTAGTACTTGTTCTGAAATAGCCTCTCATAATCTATTACTCACTAAACGATTACTTAAATGACTAAAGTTGTTCACGCACGGAATTTTCATTTAATGTTAGACATAGACACCTATATAAATATACATTGTAAATAAACTGGCTTTTAAAATAAAGAAATTCAGTTAAGTTTCTCCCCAGTTCTTCTCGATAGAATCTGTACACTGCATGTCTACGGTAGGAAAAAATGTTAATTACAAAAAACTTGACGTTCGTAAGTGGTTCAAATGTCTAACATAAATAAATAAAAGAATAAAATAATGATTTTTGAATTTGAATTTCAACATGTTTACAAAATTTTATATGAATTTCATCAAAGCCTCGTCGATTCGCAGTTTATTTTTAGTTAATTAAACAATGAAATAACATGAGACACATTTGTTTAAACAAGACGTGGAAAATTACCATCACAAGCACCTACCAATAACAATCGTTTTCTTTGCTTGTTTGTGTTCAATGTTTTACTAAACAGACAAATCGTTTATTATGGAAAATCAGAATAGTTGAAGACCAAAAATGTTCTTGTCATAGTCAAGGCACCAAAACTAAGATATCACAAAATTCTATCCCGATATGTTCGATCTGGATGAATGGCGGTCCTCCACAGTGCGGTTTTCTAGAAACTTTTTGCCACGCACACAAACACAACCACATTGTAGAATCACCTTCCAGCAATGATATTTACGAACCGATATGATATTTAAACTATTGAAAACAGTTTTTACCTTCTAAAAGGCCGGCAGTGCACTTGCAATTCCTCGTTTACCTTAGCTTACTGTTATTTGAGCTGATATAACTTTTACACTTTTAGCTATGACAAAATTAAGAAAAGAATTGGCCGGATCCGTTTAGTTATACTATACTATACAGTATAATATAATAATAATATCTCACGACAATTCACACAGCGCCATCTAGTCCCAAGCTAAGCAGAGCTTGTGTTATGGGTACTAGACAACTAATATAAATACATGGATACATTTTTTTTTCGTAAATTAATACATATTATACATAGAAAACACCCAGACCGATACAAACAATCATACTCATGAATACAAAGGTTTGTACTGTGCGAGGAATCGAACCCGCGACCATCGGATAGTAAAGCGGTGTGCTAAACCACTAGACCACCGAGGCTGTCCAATATATATACTATGTATCTATACATCTATACATATAAATCAAATTGAGGTGTCTGTTTGTAATATTGAAATAACCATTTTTTACTACATGCATATGAATATAAATACGCTACATATTATACACCAAAATAACATTTTTTACAATTTTTGTCTGTCTGTCTGTCGGTCTGTTTGTTCCGGCTAATCTCTGAAATGGCTGGACCGATATTAACGGGACTTTTTTTGACAGGTAACCGATGTAATAATGAGTAACTTAGGCTACTTATATTTTAGAATAATAAAGTTAAATTCCACGCGGACGATGTCTCGAGTACAGCTAGTACTGTATAATATAAAGTTTACTATAATATAGTTATACTATAATATAAAGTTTATATGCTACTCTACTTAACACGCAACTTATATATAATAATTATCGCTCTGTGGAACAACGCCGAAATTATAAAAAAGCGTAGGCAATTTTTTTCTAAAATACATAAAAAAAGATACGGTTTATAACTCAAGTGGTTTGCGCCGCTGGAATAGTATAGTATCCCCTAAGGAGATCACTAACTTCGTTTTTAACTAAACACTTGTTTACTGGCGGCTTCTTTTAGATTTAAAAGGAAACATCACATTAAAGAAACATTCATCAGTTGACATATTTAGTAATAGTTATTGCAAATTTCGCAGATGTCTCAATAGTATCATAAGTTCTAGTTGAATCAGTACAGGTTTTTTATAGGTAGAATTTTAAGTTGTTTTTTATGTTTTGTTAATTGTTAATTGTAAGCACAAATTTGTCACATAAATGTCGTAGTTGCCTATAATTAAGGTTGCGCTTAGTATAAATAGATTGTAATGTAATATATATAATGTAAGAGTGTTGGTGTAAATCTTGTTGGTGACCTAATAAAAAAAAAAATAAAAAAAAAAGTGTCACTCGTCGAATAATTGAGAATTTTAAGTATCCTAGCTGATGTAGTTTAATCTACATTTTTTTTCGGACTACTCTAATGCTGTTGGCCGCAGCTGGCCTTTACAGCTTCACCGGACGTTAGGGGGCGAGTGCAGATGGCACTCCAAACCAAGGAAGGACTTATGGAGCGGCTGAAGGTCAACTCCCGCCTGACGGATACGACTTTAGTCTGAGGGCACCACTAGGGGTAATCTAAATAATCTTTAGTTTTCCTCTATTATTTAGTCTTCTTCTTTCTGGACATTCGTAATCTAAATTAAAGAAGAAAGTTAAACTCTTAAAAAAACCATTGTTAAACTGTGTATGATCATATAACAAAATTATGTGTATAAGGCAATACTTATTCAATATTGTATGACCTCATTGTGCGATCGGGAATAGGTATATGTGATAATGTATGACCCATATAATGTGATAACGTGATGACAGGCTTGCAGGCAGTCTGCAGAATGTTTTTACAATGATTTATCCGTAACGCTCGGTGGTTTAGCGGTAGAACATACTGTCTTCCGAAGGTCGCGGGCTCGAGTTCAAGTAGTCAAATTGTGTGTGACACTCTGGGTGTTTGCTATGTATAATATGTAATTAATAAAATATATAATATGATGACTAAAATATATTATTAAAAGGGGTCCCTTTAGGCAACGTTCCGAAGATACTGGCAGCGTTCCCTCTTTGAATAGCTAGACTAATTCTTTGTCCAAGGTAGCTGCCAGCTCTTCGGTTTTCTGTAATTAATTATATTATTTACCTAGTACCCATAACATAAACTCTGCTTACCTTAGGACTTTGTATAAATTGTCCAGGGTTATTATTATTGTTTTTTTATATATATATATATATATATATATTATACATCAGCTTTTGATGGGGTGTTAAACTTGTCATTGCGGGTGAATATCACCAAACAATGACAATTATAAAAGAAATGATTATGATGACAAAAATTTGCGGACTATTCTACAGGTGTTTAGAATTACAGCTTTTTGGAGAAGTATGAAAGTAAGTGGGTGAAGCTGTAATATTTTGAGTAATTTTGTAATTTTATTATTATTATTATTATTATTTTAACTGGCACCTTAATAATATATATATAGGTATATCTATTTTCTTATATATTATACTTTATTGTAACTGAAAAAATATAACAATTGTAATTTATTTGTAGAGAAAGTACAAAAGTCGGTCTTATCGATTTAGCAATAATTTGTATATATTTTTTAATATATATGTATGTATATTAAAAAAATATTTATTTCAATATTTCTGTCCGTTAACTAGTATTTATTGGTCCACTATAATGTATGTACACGCTGTGTTTTTTTTTTATGACTAGATGCCGCTGTGCATAATGTTGTATATTAATACTAGCTACTCACCCCGGATTCGCACGGGTGTACACGAATATATATATATAAACCTTCCTCTAGACTCACTCTATCTATTAAAAAAAACCCGCTTCAAAATCCGTTGCGTAGTTTTAAAGATTTAAGCATACATAGGGACGGACAGACAGCGACAGCGACTTTATTTTATACTATGTAATGATAGTGCAATATAGAATAAATAATCTTATCTTATCAATATTTGAAACGCGAAAGTTTATGAGTATGTATAGATGTTTGTTACCCTTTCACGCAAAAACTACTAAACGGATTTTGATGAAACTTTACAGTAATATAGATTACACATCAGAAT